CCATCTAACCCGTCTCAAAACCGTGAAGCGCTGTCCCAAGAGGGCCTGGTGAGAAACTCTGAGTGGCTGTGTACAGTCCATTAAAGCCACTGGAATAAACAGGTTCAGACGGGTTCCTCTGCGCCGCTGCTTTGAGAAGCACTATCTGCCTTTCTCGCTCAACTCTTGGGAGATGGATCCTAACCAGATGCACATGGAGCTATCACAAGCGCCTCCACTCCCATCTGCCTCTCCTGGGCCAGTGTGGTGGTCCAGGAATGCATGGGCCTTTGCCATCAGTGTCTCCTTACCCATGCGGGAGTATTATTGTTTGTTTTTCGAAGCTGACTTTGTCACCTACAAATAAATCCTGGAGAACACTGAGTGTGCCTCAAAGACTGGAAGCAAACCTTTCGCTGACAGATTTTCCCCATCCCAGGCTGCTTCAGCTCGATGGATGATACAGTGGATTTCTCTTTCTGAGAATACACACGCACGTCTAAAATTCTTGGGCAGTTGTCATACTAGGATACAGCATCCAATATTCGATGCCTTCCGAAGGAATGATGACATCTATAAGTTAGCCCCGAGATAAGAATCCAGAGGACTTCTGCCATATAAACCATGAGCAATGTTTGTTGGGGGTAGTATCCGAAGCCTGTTTCTGTGGATACTGCATTTTCAAAAATTGATCTTAGAGGTTCCAAACTTGCTTTACAGCCGACTGATAGACTGCAGGGTCCCATAGGAATGAGCTCTTCCCCCAAAAGGATACAGAAGAATATTTCATGTGTCTTGAAAGACTCATAAGAAATCTTCATGGTTTAAAATGGACTTGAAAACAGACTGCCTCTTTTGAGGAATTAGAGTTTGTCACACTGGGGACATTAAACCACTGAAGGCTGCAGAGTGAGGGGCCAAATGCCACTGAACAGCTACTAGAAGTAAGATTGATACCTCAGAGGACTATGCTATGGGATACATGCCTAAATGTAAAAGAATAAATGCAGAATAACTACAGAGACATGTTGATGAATTTAATTAAAAACTGTTTGGAAAAAAAAATATGTGTTTGGGCATAACAAGGAGCAACTGATTCACATACGTTGAGTTGATTGCACTGACAGGCGCACTTATTTGGGTGATAATGTGGCGCTATCCTGACACCATCACAGAAGAAGTTACAGATCATTTACTGAGGAGCAGTAGCTCTTCTGCCCAGGATGGGGTGGGGAAACAGAAAGAACTACAATAGCACAATGAGAAAATGCCCGACTTGGAAATCTGTGTCTGCTGTGTGGTGTGGTAGATGGAAGATATCTGTCCTCCCCAGTCCCGCCGCTGTTCAGTCCCAAAGAAACACACAGAGGCTTATGTTAATTATAAACTGTTTGGCCTATTAGCTCAGGCGCAAACAAGGAAGCAGTGCATCCTAACACAGTCAGAGGCAAAGTGTATCATGTCAGCTTTTACTACAGCGGTTGGGGCCTAGAGATACCAGAGGCTTCTTCTCAGTATCCGCAGTCTAAGAGAATCAATCTGTTTGGCCATGGGAGAAGGGTAGGAATGTCCCTTTCCAAATGACCTTTAAAGCGAGAGAAATAAAGCAGAAATCTGATTCTGGGGAGTTCTAACTGTGCCTAGTTTAGGTTACATAAGGGTGGCTAAATAGACATCCCGAGCCAAACAAGGCAGGCGGCACAATCATGAACAGTGCCTCTGCTTTGCTTACTGATTTCTACTGCAGTATCTAAAAAATCCGCTCTCACCCCTTTTCCATGTTTTAGAGATTTGAGGTTTGGGAGAATAGCTCCATGTTTATGGGGTGGAATGCTAGGTTCTTTTTACATCATTTGAATGGAGAAGTTGCTACGACTCCGGTCTCAAATTTCCGTTTGGAAGAAGAAATGTTCTCCTCTGTCCCTTCTGTGGGATGCTGGGGGGTAGGCAGGAGCATTGAGTTCAAAAAGCGAAGCTGAGAGAGTTACTTAATCTTTAGCTCGTCCTTTATGCCAAGAAGAGGGGCATCTCCCAGTTACTTGCGCTCCAAAAGCAATGCTGACTCTGAAGCGCAGCTGCGATTGTTTTAGACCCGACTGACAGCTGTTTCTGCTTCCAGCGACTGCTGTATTCTTTTCAAAGTCGTCTCAGCCTTTACAGGGTGAAGGAAAGAACCCTTGGAAACCAGATGTTGCAGTAACTATAACTACTCCTTTTTGTTGGATCCCGAGGAGAATTAGTCTCTGTCTATAAATGGGAGATGGTTTTCAGTTTAGCCTTGCGCCGAGGACTCTTCACTGTGTGGGGACAAATGTTCTGTAACCCATCTTCCATTGGGACCTAGGTTGAGTCCTGGGGTCTTCTGTTTTATCAGAACCATAGTTCTGATAAATTTCGTAATGACTATTTTTGATATGCTACTGTCCCAAAGTGAAACTCCACATCAGAGATACAGTTTCAACTGACACAGAGATGCTCAGGCTGCAGTAGCAGGGAGAGACAGAACATACAGCAAAATACACACAAGATTGAAATGTCTGACACTACTCCACTGAAAAATGTCACGAGGCCACTCGGTGTTTGCAGTCATGTGAAGATCTAGTGACATAGAGTAATACAGATGAAGAGGGGAGACGGCCAATAACCCAGTAAGGGTCACCATTGTTGATGTGATTTCCCAAAATGGTGGATACAAAGGTTCCAAACAAGGGACACTGTGACCTTCCCTTGAATGGATGGTGATTTCATCCTTGTATTCAGCTTAAGTTGGAACCATGAAAGAAATACTTTGAACTTGTAATAAGTTGAAGTTGCGTTCTAGGCTCTGATGATGGGAAATAGGATAAACATGTTTTTGTTCATGTGACATGTCTGAAGTCTTCGTTCTGCTCAAGAAATGCCAATAACATTTCCCTTATTCTCACCACTCTGAGTGGCTCCCTAGGTTTTCAAAAGTTTGGAACCTCTCGTGTGACTTGGCTAAGGTGAACTGCAGAGGAAGAGGTGCAGGTGTGTTGTTTATTATGAAACTCCAGACGATAAAGATATGGTTTTTCCTCTAGAACATCCAATTCAGCCATTGGCCCTTGAAACCTCAACAAATTTGAAAAACTTTGGGGGGAATAAAAGCAGATGGATTACTTCCAAATCTCTGATAAGAGTCTTCATGATCAATTTATACATTTCCTTATATAGGGATTATTTATCCCTGGATTATTGCAGGTCTAAGACATAACCTTGCTCCTCAATGTATCCCAAGACTGGTTGGCCCTTGAATTTCCCAGTCACTATTCAGAGCGCTCTCAAGAATTAGCACTGCAGCCTAAACAAGCAGAAGAGGGGCAGAAGCAATGTTGAGAGTTGAGCTTACAAACATCCCTGCTGCGCAGAAACGCTTATTTACCCTGATGATGTGCCCCCATGTGGTTTAGAACTCAAAGACATAGGCAGCTACACTCCTGCCTCTAACCCTGCAAATGAACTTGAATAGGAAGTGTCTACTATTAGTATGCTATGTCCTTACATCTGAATCGAATATGAAATGATGACGTTTTGAGTACACAGTCTTTTGTATCTTCAGATCTTCTTCAGGTCTGCTTGGAGTCTTTGACTTTTAGTCTATCAGTGAGTTTGAGCCTCCATCCCTAGTTTCAGAGTCATAATGGTGCCTGATGCTTTTTTTTAAAAAACAAAGATAAATGACACGGCATAGGTAGATCATAGTAATAACTTATTGTCAGCCATTATTATTGTTACTGTTCATGCTAATTATCACTGATAGTCATCAAAGAGCGAGGAACGTTATTTTTATGAAAGGCAATGATTTGGCCTAGATAACCATGGAGAACTTCCCAAGGGAAGAATTGTTCCTTAGCTCTTCGGGAGGATAAATGGCTTTGGACAATATTCAACACTAAAAAGTAAATCAGTCTGCCCATACCCCCAAACATAGGCAAAACTGTGATCGATTGCTTCCCAGAAAATAACAGAACTTTCTTGCAAGCTTGTGAAGGGTTTCCTAGGTGAAGTTCAGAAAAGGACAGGGTCTTACCCAGTGGCCTGTGAGAGTCAGAGATTCTTTGGTGCGTTTGGACTAATGATGCTGGGTGTCAAAGTGGAAACCCTGTTCTGTCACGTGCCTAGCAACCTCTCACTTCATTATCCACAAAGCATTTCAGAAAAGGGTGTAACTAGGTTAGGCGGATGGAAATGGAGGGAAAAGGTGTCATCTTGGGCGGGGGAAGGGGAAGAGCTACAGAGAAGACTCTTGCCACATCGGAATTTGAAAGAGGGGCTGCAGAATATTGGTGGAAAAATCCATGGCAATTTTAAAGGAACAAGGGTTGGGAGTTAAGTTGAAGTCAGCTACCAAGGGTGTGCGAGACGATAGTAAGGAAAACATCTGCCTTATTTCCTTAAATCCAAGTGCAAATCACGTGACTCCTGTCTACTTTTCAGTAACGTTCTAAAAAGTTAAAGGTAGGTTTATAAAAAGGGAAGTAGATCAGACTCTTGAACAGGAGGGAAAGTTCTATATGCTACAACTTGTCCTCGACTAATGCTTGTGTGAGTAGGATACTATGGCGTGTTTTCAGTAAGTAGATTTCTTAAAATAATTCAATGCTGAGAGATCACATCATACAAAATCTCTCCTGGGAGTGCATCCAGTGCTATTTGTGTATGTGCCTTCTAGGATGCTGTTGGATCTCCTGGCGTGAAAAATCTTTTCCCAAATAATTGCATCATGGGTTACACGTCACTGTTGGGTCCCAGTGGATGGGGTGGGTCTCACCTACCTGCTTCATTGCTCATGGATGGATTATACAATTAATAATCTCATCTATGCTTTCCATAAGTCCTTTGAAACTCTTGTCAATTCTAAGATATCGCTGTGATGTTTGACTAAGTTTTTTTTTTTCCCGGTGTTTTCTGTGTTTGTGCATTACTCTCACTGTCCCTACTAAAAACGCGACATAACTGTAAGCCTCCTAAGAAATGACAGACCACATCAAAGGAAGCAATTAATCAAACATGATTAATTTTAATGTAATTACTAAAGAAAGATATAACATTTTATTATGACACTCTAGCCATACATTTTCAAAATATGCTTGCTAAACAGTAAATGTAAGATAATGAGTCAGTTAGTTACATGTCTAGAAGTCATTAGGACTGATATTGTTTCGCCATAAATGAATCGAGTAATAATCATTTCAAACACAATCAGGATTAATTTGATAGAAGATGTTTTTGAATAAAAGAGATACAATGAACGACCAATTATTACTTTCCGGCTTCAGGAGGAAAATTAATTCAATGCCTGTAAGTTAATTATCACAATCGGCTGTTAAGTGTGATAAGAATAAATGAAGCAAAAATACATGATGTCATCCAAATTCTCATAGCTCATTAGCACTTTAACCAACAGAGATCTGATACGATATGATATCTGGAGCTTTCCCGTAAATTGACTATAGACGGCATGGTGTTCAGAAACTGGATAATTTGACACCCAGCATTTTCATGATACACAGACACAGAGAAGAGTTGTGAAGAGACAGCTCGAGGTTTCAGCGTCCCCCTGCGGGGTGTTTTGCAGTAGGTACAAGGTAAATACTCAAACACAACGAGATCAGCAGATGAGCAGAAGAGACTCTGAAGAGCTGGGCAGTGGAGCCAGGGCGCCCGGAAAGGCGTTTTTAGAGTTCTTCTCTCATTGCCGTACTTTACACAGTGCATTTTGGACCAAAGAAAATAAATGAACAACGCTTGCTTTTAGGCTCAGGCAATTTAAACACAGGCCAATTCTAAAGACTGCGAAAGGTCACGCTGAAGGTGATTTAGCCTGGGTTTCAGGTAGGAGAAAGTATTTCCATTTTAGCTCTTATTTCAACTGGGCAGTGGCATTTGGATTTTTGTCTTCTTTCTCATTCTTGTTAATGATTTTTTTCTCTCCTTAAAAACCCAACTCAGTGACAGATTAAAAAAAAAACAGAGAGAAATTATGTTTGAAATCAACGTAATCATCCATGAGAAGGGAACATGTGAAATGTGTTTGGAAAGGCAGCCCTTTCGCTGGATTTGGCTGGCCAGCCTATGTAAAATTCTGAGGCAGTCACTAGGGAGAAGAAACAGGACTTGGAGGAACAAAGACAGTTTCCAAAGTCCCCTGGGCCTCTGTCTTATCTGGGGAAGTTTTCCTTAAAATGATAAGGGAGGATTGTCTCAGATGTGGTTATTTAAATTGGTGTCATGTACCATATGCACTTAAGCTTCAAACAGTCTTGTCTCTTTTCTTTTAAATGGGAAGCACACAAAGACGGTATCTATATGTCAATTTCTAATACCTAACAGGAAAGTCTTATGGAATATCACAATAGCAGTAGGCTAATACACACTGCAGGGCTAAGCCTTGAAAACAAAACAAGCAACAAAAATTTCCCTTAGTTTTTTTTTCCCCCCTCAGATTCAGAATTTCATGGCCTTTGTGGGGGAGTGGGGACAGAGACTCACACTTCTACTGTATTTTAAGGTAAATAATTCCTTAATATTAATCATTCATCTTTGAAAACATGGGACAAGCCATGTGCTTTGAGCGCGAATGCTCATTCTCGGGAGAAGAGCCAAGTAGGGCCTATTCTAATACATTAAGATAATCTTTCCGTGATCGAAAATAGAAAGGGACACTTAAAATAGTCTGATTCGATAAGTCAAATGTTGCGGGAACACCTCTGCTCCTCCAGCCAATAGCCGCTGAGATACCAGCCCATTGGGGCGTGGTTTCTCTCCTTTAAAAAAGCGGTCTCTTCCCTCAGCGCTCGCGTGGGCACGTGCGCGCTCTTTCTCTCAGGCTTCCGGCTGCACTTCCGGCGACTAGGCTCCCTTCCTGATTGCGCAGAGGGCTGTTGTCAGGGACGGTGCTCTGTAAGTTTTGCCCCCTTAAATAAATAACCATTCTATAAATCATAATTCCAAGCTGGTGTGGGATTGTGATTTACGCCTTCAGTCAAACCGTACATTTCGAGCTAGCCTACCAAGAGTCTACGTGAGTTTATTGCCTTCCATTCTGCTCTGAAATAGGAAAAAGACGGAGTCACTTTTGAACGGTAAGATTTCCATTCATAAAGACTGTAAAAAGTGAAAACCAAAACCCAAACACAAAACAGAACAAAATCTTCACAGACTGTTAGCCATCTTCTTCAAAAAAATTTCTCATGAGTTCTTTTCTTTCTCTGTCGGTAGATAATTCCCACCTCACAAGGAACTAGTTTCTAACCTTCCCCAGCAAGAGCCACGGCTGCTTCAAGGAGAGCAGCCACTTCTTGAGCTGTCTGACGGAAGAGCATCCTCTACAAACCCAGGAATCAGCGTGCACCCCAGAGGACCTGGCAGAAGGTGTTTCTACAAATAGGTACGTCTATGTTGTTAAAACCTCCGTTTTTATTTTCTCCGCTTTCTGAGTATTTGTTTCTGAGGGGAGCGCGCACGCACACACACACATACACCAAACTAAAATCAAGGCCAAAACTAAACAAGAAACCCAAACAACCTACAGAAAGGCACGAGGGAACGTCACCCTCTGCTGCCATTTGCCTCGAGTTCTTTTTCTCCTCCCACTTTTACTTCACACTCTTGACCAACATTTCAGACTGGGTAAAATATTGCTAATTTTGTTGATTTCCAGAGCCAGTGAAATAATGGAGCCTTCTAACTTTAAACACTTTCCATCCTCTGTCTCTGAACCCCCAAACTCACAACTTGGTGAACAATATTCTACTTCTAAGTAACACAGAGTTGAAAGGTGGTGGCGAGATCTAACACTATCTTATTACGTCATCTAGCTAGAGGATTGTTGTTTTCATACTTTAAAAAAATATGTCTATGCTTTCTTTTTTTCTTTTTTCATTTTTTTTATAGTCAAGTACTTTCTTAAAGAAACAATAGCACCACATTGGCATAGCTGGCCAAACAATAAATGGGAAAGCAAAACCTGCCTCGTGCTCTCTCCCGCACACCCTCCCAAGTGCACAAACCAATAACAGAAATCCTGGAGCCGTGGGGTATGAGATGGTTTCGTCTACACAGACATTTCCATGTTTCGCATCAACAGTCCAAGAAGGGGAAGGAGTTGCAAGGGGACAGAGCTGCTTTTGTTAAAAATAAGATTTTCAAGAGAATGATTTCTTCTTATTATTTCGTTTGGTGTCTCTTATGATAAGTAGGTATTTGTGTGTGTGTATGTGCGCGTGCACACGTGGGCGCGTGTGTGTAGGGTACATGCATATAGGGTGGGTATTAAGAATGTATTTTTTTACCCTAGGAAAGCAGACTATAATGGAAAGAAGCACTCATTTTTTCTGTAGGACTGGCTCATCTTACAATGTTCAAACAATTGATACTCTTTGGAGAATAAGACTAAAATTTGACTAAGTATTGAGTCTTTTTTAATTAAATCAGGAATAAGCCTATCAAATGAAAACTCCTTCCTTCCTATCTTTATTGTTCCTTTGTGAACCTCTTAAAGTTGCCCCGTGTCTAGACACTAAGCAGTTTAACTTCGTAGCAAAGCTACGGAAGTTTAGAGTTGTCAAACCTCAAGTGTCTCTTCCTAACAGTCTTGAATCATTCTGCTTCATCGGGTGGCTTTCAGAGTTTATGTAGATTTATCGTACAGTTTATTAATCTTACATTTATCTTTAAGTTCATCTGTTTGAGAGTATAATGATATGTTAGTAGAATTAACTTATTAGTTGATTTCTGATTGAGTTGGAGAGAATTATGTATCGGATAAAGGATTGCATATCTAAGTTTTCATCATTGAGAGATTTTTCAACTGTGTATAGAATGAAACGAACAAAATCTGCAGCAGACACTCCGAATCCCCATATCCAACCATGGCAGGAAGCCCATAGATCTGTAGAAGACTGCCTATGAGGTTTTCTGGGAATCACTAATTTTAAAAGGAACACACTGGAAACAAGAGCTAATGCCAGGAGTGCTACCGTGGGCGTGGGAGGGTCCAACTTTTCCCACCACATCTTTGGGAAACAGGAAGATGGCGAAACTGGTCTATTCCATTGACGTCTCTCCGTCGTGTGTAGGGCACGTTCAGCACGCCAAGCTTTCTGAGGGCTTTGCTGAACAGCGCTTCCTGCACTTATTCAGAGGATCTCGGGGCAACCCAGTAGATGGAAAACTAAAAATGTCTTTTGTTTGTTTGTTTGTTTTTCTTAAACATTTTATAAGAATATTAAGGAAGTCTGGAAATGAGGAAAAGGCTACAGACAATAAGATTATCTGAGCATTGAATATTTTTTTTTTTTTGTTCTAAAGAAGGAGACAATCTTGCCCCACAAATAGGAAACACTTTTTAGGGTTTTTGAGCATTGAATATTTTTTTTGTTCTAAAGAAGGAGACAATCTTGCCCCACAAATAGGAAACACTTTCTAGGGTTTTTGTGGGGGGTTATCAATGCCCAGTTGAATGCATACAATACATTTGCAGGAAGCTGGGTTCTTCCGTCTAAGCAATGCTAGGGAGAACCCTGGGGTTGAGAAGAAAAAATTTTGCCTCTCAATTAGCAGTCTGGCCAGCACATTTTCACTAAATAAAATAAGTGTATATACATTCAAGGATATAAGACTATGTCCACTAAAGTAACGTGATTTTTTAATGGATATAATTTCAAAGCTTAAGAATATTGGGGCCTGTTTTTATATGCTAAAGGGAAGGAAAATGTGGTTTTCAAACTGAGTAGATTATCACTGATAATACTAGAGTTATTCTGAGATGCTAAGTGCCTGGAAGGGTGAATGGGAATGGACAAGTAGAATACTCTTTGATTGGCCAAGATCTTGCTCTTTCTCCCCTTTTCTGTCTTTACTTATCTTTCTATGCGTACATTCAAGGCAGAAGTAAAATCAAATTGTAAATCAAGTGTCTCTTACTTTTTCGTGTTGGAGAGATGGAGTCGTTAGTTCTCCGCTAGGTCATTGGACAGCTTCTCCAGTCAGCACTTGGATAGCATAGTAGCCTCGCAGTGATGGGCGGATAATCCACGGAGCTACTTTGTCAATGGGTTAGTCCCAGCATTCCTTGTATCCCAGCAATTCAAGGGCTCTGGTGTTACACCCTCCTGGAAACCCAGAGGAAAAATCTGAAGATCTCTCGTTTTTAATATTCATACCACCCCTTTGAGGTAGGTAGATGACATATTGCCCCCATTTTGCAGATGAGGAAACTGAGGCACCAAGAGTTGGAGTGACTTGACCAAGGTCACAAGGTGTGAGTCTGTGTGGCAGAGGTTGCAACTACTTATTTCTTCAGTGATTAAAAAGAAACCAGGACTCCGAAAAATCCCTAGCCTCTTGCTTTTCCCACACTCCACAGCGTCCTCTCTGGACTCACTGAGTACATGTGTCTTAGTGGGCTTCATATCTTAAATTCCTCTTGGAAGGCATAGCTTGGGAGGCCTTTGCATCTCCCAAGAGGATGGATTTTTGTTTTCTTTTTTAGTTCCTTTCCTAATTTTGTCATCTTAGGCTCCAGGCTTTCATTTTGGCTTTGCTTTCACCTTTTACCGTTTTGACCAGATTCTTTCATATGACAAACTACAAAATAGCACCATTGTACTAAAAAACAACAACAACAACAACAGAGTTTTACATACTGTTTGATAGATCCTGTATTATTGATATGCTAAATTTACATAGTGCTCTATATGGAAAAAAATAAAAAGAGAAATTGCTAATTAGGTTACAGACTAACTTATCATTTGAAGGAACCATCGAGAGCGGAAGAGACGTCCTGTGTTTCAAACACACACCTAGAACTGATTGGCCTCAGCGCTGCAATTACCGTCATTCTGTTTCTTTTGCCGTAACTCGATGTGGAAAAATAAAGCTTTGTGTCTAAAATAAATGCATCCAACTTATATTTGGTACAAATGCCATGGATGGAATCGGGTGGGTTAAAACTTGGTGGGCCGGTTGGCTACTTAATTCGCTATTGGTTTTGAGGAGGCCGAATTTAACAAATCCATAGCTCAGGGACTGGGCAGGGCTACTGGAGATGGACAGACAAGATTACTGGACTCTGTGAAACAGGCAGCTTGAGCTATGTGGGGGAAAGTGAAAACAAGGAGAGTAACTCATGAACCACTTCCATACAGCTGCTGAATGAATGGCTCCAGCAGCCACGATTCAGAGAGGAATTTAGTGCAACTGGATCTATACAACACCCATGCATTTCCGGTCTTGAGAGGCAGGGACTAGGAGATATAATTATATATATATATATTTTTTTCTTTATAGAACGTATTGATAAAGGATCAACAGTAATCTACCCACTCTAGGACCATTTTTGTAAGGTGCAAAGTTTGTTTGTTTGTTTTAACAAACACTCCTAAAGACAATATTGGAATGTTTACATGTATATTTCATGGGGGGGGAAATGCCCATCTTTGAAATGTTATTGAATGTATTATTGTTTGGTAGGTTTTTTCCCAATGTTTTGCAGGCGGTTCATGCAGATCAAAGGATCCTGCCGGTGACATCTCATTTTCTGCTTCTCGGGAGGCTCTTCCTACATCCTGTAGTTCTTGTTCCCCGCACTCCCTCTACTTGCGTTCTTCAAATGTACTTCCTACAAAGAAGGAAGAAAGGTCCCATTAAATTGATGTTTATATAGCTATGCATGTCTTTAAACAATCCATTTATCCCGTGTGTTTATTCGTCACCATTTGATAGATAACCAACTCGAGACACATACACGATGTGTAATGACCAAAAGAGGGTGAGTGGTATTTCGATATTTTTAAAACTTTATTATTTCTTTACTTTGGTAATTTTTACACTCTTATAGTTCTTTATCAGATATAGAATAATAAATTTCTGTAACTTAAAGTCCCTTTCCCTTTGTCCTTGTGCTATAGGAGACCGCTGACTCTTCCGGGTACTAGGCCTAGCTCTTTCCAACACAGGGTCTCATCCTTTCGTATCTCCTGCTTCACCAACCAGCTAAAAGAAGGCTTGGGGTCTTGAATTCTTGGAGGAACGTACAGATGGACAGGCCTTTAGTTAATACTTCAACCACATTTGACTTATCTCTGAGAGCTTCTGTGGCCTAGGTATCGCTGCTCTGTAACCACACAGAGAGGCCACGCTTTCCCTCCGCCTCTGGCCCAGATTTATTCACAGGATGGAGAATTCTAACCTTCTGACTAGAAGCATATCCCCCCTTCAGTGAGCAAAACAAAACAAAACAGACCCAAGCAACAATAGCAAGAAAACCCCAGACTCATCAGACTCCGAGGTTACCTCGGGAGTTTTGTTAAGCTTGTTTTCCATTATTGCTTTATAAAGAGCAGCCAGAATGTTTCTGCTTAAGGTAATGCCTACTAAATCTTAATTGTGTTAGGAACTAAAGGACTTCAGAGACCTAGAAAGGGTGAGGATTTAATACTAATGAATACTGCCATTCCTTAGAACCAGTACCTATCAACCAAGACTCTTAGGCGTGTGGCCATTTCTCTGACACCTGTTGATCAGCACTGCCAGGAGCGTGACTTCCACCACTGAGTCCTTCATGAAATGTGAAAGGGAACTTGGGGAGTCCATATCACACTGACCAATCAGAAGAAAGGGGGTATCATCTCATAAACACACTCTTGAAAATACCAGGTCCGCACCCCGTTGCTTAAGAAGCAGGCCCTGAAAAAAGTGGGACCTTGGGTAGAGCGTCTCAAAATGCCATCAGTTTAAAATACTGAGACGTTCCCTTTTTATAGCATATGACTCTATCAAAGTTCACTTAACATGCTTTCATTACTGGGCAATGCATTAGACATTAATCTACCGGTGAACTTCTGCTCCCTGTCTTATAATGGTTTTCTAGACAAATGAAGTCATCTGTGACAGAGGAGAAGATCATTAGAGTTCCCAAACCATTTGAAGCATGTGGACCCATTGGATCCATCTGGCCGTGTGCTTCAGATAGCTATAATAGCGACAGTACTATTCCACACATTTATCAACCACACTTACTAGGGGAGTATACTCATTTGAATTATACTCTTTTCCCTTTTTAATATGCTCACTGGCTTAGAAATAAAAAATAAGGAGTCTAAAATGCACACACTGAATTCAGGAATGAGCTGGTAACGATGAAAGAAACCCCACGATCTCTCGCTTACAACCCCCTCTTCTCAGGCTGAGTTACGAATTTGCCACAGAATGCCTTCTGGTCTCTTCTGTTCTTTAGGCTTGAAGTGTATGAGGGCTGCACAGCCATTAAAAGGCGGAAAATGAGGTTAGATTGACCATCTTACAGATCTGTCTTCTGGTCCTTTCTCTTCTCTCTAAAGCCGAAGGTAGACAGGATGAAGGTGGGCAGAAGTGTCCCCTGGTGGTTTTCTTGGGGGTCTGCCTCAGCATCCGGCAGAGCTATGAGCTGAAACGTGCCCACCACTGCCCTGAGTAGCATGCTTCCCCAGCACACGGGCGCAGAGAGCCCATTTAGGACCAGCTGTGTGTCTGGCTTGCCGTTGGCTCTCTTCCCGGGCGCTCACATGTGATTTCTTTGTTGCAGACAATGGCAGGGATGAACAAAAGCACTCAGGCCCGTGGGTTTCGGTTGCATCTGTTGCTTCGCTCATTGTCTTAATTTAATTATCTGGCTACCCTTGACAATAGGCTGCAGGAGGAGGCCTGTGAGGGGCAGCCGTCCTTGGAGCTGGCGCCCACCTCCAGTGCCCTTCTTGAAGGGTTATGAAACAGTTTCGTGCACAGCCAAGCAAAAACTTTTCGCTTCAGCACCTTGTCCAAGACAAACAAAGCAGCCGAAACTGTTTCTAGTACTCAGCTAGACAGCATTTTGAAAGGAAAACGGTAGTGAGTAAATATTATTTCCTATTGACACCAGAGAAGGTAAGATTATTAAAAAAAAATATATATGCCGGTCTTCCAGCTCACTGGGGTTGATGGAAGAAACTGATCCTTCTGAAGGGACGGCTAACCAGCTTATTAAAGGATCAGCTGGGGAAGGGATTAATTTGTAATAGAGGCCATTTGCTTTCTTCCATAGCTCTCTGGCTTTCCTCTGGAAAGTTATCGGTAGACCTTTGGAGGGCAGAGATCATCAAAGGTTAATAACAACAAACAGCGCAGTGATCTTGTCTGACACCTGCTGGGCTCTACGGTTGAGTAAATGCTCTCACTGGCTCCTCATGGCCATTTTGGCAAGGTGACCTTTTTTGTACCCACTCCATTTCCAGGCTGAGGCTTGCTAAGATTTAGCGATGTGTGTCAGGCTACAGAGGATCAGGCTGTTAGAACTAAGAGCAGAAATAACAGGAGCCATCCCCTGCACATCGACAGTATGCTAAGGATTAGTTCATACAAGTCCCCATGTCTTCCCATTTATTCTCGCAGTCGTCCTCAGAATGGGCACAGGCATCGTGACCATTGGACCTTTGAGGAATCCTTTAAAAGGGTTAAAAAAAAACCAAGCTGGTGTTTCTTAGAGTTGAGCTGGATTTCTGCTTTGGGTTTGTTGAAGATCCTTGCTGTTCTGGGGCTGGCCTGTTGCCCTGCTACCTAGCCCACCAAGAGGAGAAACGGAACCTCGTGCCTCCAATTCCAGCACTCTTTCTAATGGCAGTAGCTCATAATCTTATCAGTTGTCCACCGTCCCCAGCTGGTTCACAGGTGAAGGTGGAACCTCAGGGGTCAAAGACTCTAAGCTAAGAGGGTGGGTAGCCTTCCTGATCAAATGTGGGAGTTAAGCCACATTTGCGTGGTTGTTTATATTTTCAGTTAGCAAGGGTTAACTCCTTGTATACCATTTCTTCTGGTTTTTATCATGCCTAGTTGGGCTAGGGGGTGGGTTTTTGCCTGCAGGGCAGACTGTAAAAGAAAGATGATAGGCTCTTTAAACTTCAGGAAGGAAGGGTTGATATTTTCAATAGACTGTTTCCATCTTCCTCCCACTGCAATCAAGTTAAGTATTGTAGGGCATAGCCTAGGAAAGGCCTGGCATCCCATAAAAAAGCACCGGAGGAAATAATGCCCAACATAGAATATTATTAGCAGCTCATTTATAGCACAAAGTACAAACTCAGCATTGACCTTCTCCACAAAAGGGAAAATAGAAAAGAAGAAGGAAATAAAAAACAGTGGATGATTGAGAGGTGGCCCAGACATCAACTTGTTGAAAAGGATGTGTTGCTGTTCTTTTTTTTTTTTTTTCTAGCTGTCTTGGGAACACATGGTATTGTGGAGGTTGATTTAGATGTCTTGGTATCAGCTTTGAAATCTGTTGACTTCAAGGGATCCCAAGTTCAAATTCTAAGAGAGTCGGATGTGCCTTTCTTCTCTGGTAGCCGAGCTGAGTGAGAGTCACAAGGTCTACTCTGTGCATTAATATGTGACTTTAAAGCCAAGGAACAGAGCACACAGTGGGAGAAACCTGTGTTCCTGTTGTGTGTGGCAGACTCTTTAAGACAGAGGCACATGGGTCATGGGTGGACATATGGGACACCATGTCAGTGTGCCTAGCCTCTGCCTGGCTTTTTTTTTTTTTTTTTTTTTTTTTTGGAAACTACCTTCTTCTGCCTTTCACATAATGGTTATTTATTCCTCTCCCTCCTCATGGCTTTTCCCTTTGAGCAGATTGGATTGTTCCAGGCTGACCCTAACCTAAGCTGTGTGTGAGTGTAGTGGGGAGACCCGTTTTTGAAACACATACATCTTTCATGGCTGCTTTGTCTTAAAGACTCTGATGGCTGTTACACTGTCCTTAGCTTCTGATGTCAGCACCAGCCATTTCCGCCTGAGCTCCTTTCTCTCCCTTCTCCACTTGGGATCAGTAAACATCGTTGTTTGATGGTTTGTCCAAACTACCGAACTCCGACTGCTTTTCTCTCACACAGCTATATCTCCTAATAAATCTTTCCTGTATACCTCCCAGAGGCCATTGGGCTTACAAGCTTAGTTTGGGTCCCAGCTCCCCCACTTCACCAGAGTTATGTGATTATGGGTGATCATTGAACTCGTTCTTGCCTCAGTTTCCTCCTCAATAATATGAAAGAATGGGGTGAAAGCGCCGACTTCACCAAGTTGGCGGGTTGACTGTCCTAACTTTGGGTTCACCTATTCAGCACAGGAAGACGGTTACTATTGTTTGCAAGGAGACACACTGCCAAAGACACTTGGTTTAGATCCATTCTGTGAGCTTAACTCTTAACAGCATCATTCTAGACTGGCTGTGTGATATCTCGTTTGCACCTACCTTTGTTAGAACACTGACATATTTTGGAGTCCATTCTGCATATGTTTGCCTCCCCCACTTAAAGGGAGCTCCCCGAGACCCGGGGAGGGGGGAAGGGGAGGGCATATTTCCTTTACTAACTCAAGCAGGGTGAGTTATCCTTCCTAAACTCAAGCAGGGTGTTTGAGAAATAGAAGCGAATAGCAACTCTGTCTCCTTGTTTAATTTAAATTTAAATTTCCTGCAGAAGTAATGGGGTGAGAGTTTAGACCAACAGCAAGAGTTGCATGGTCACCTGTTATGTTCCCAAAGCAAAAAATAACAATCCTCACTCCTGTCTCAGAACTTATACTGAGGATTGTGGCTTAATCAATGTT